TGGCAGGCGCCAGGGTGCGTTTTGAACGGTCCACCCACCGTCTGGCATAGTTCAGAATTTACGGCATGAGCTGTCCTGCTGCGGCCCCGGCGTTCATCGCGACAGTGAACATGTCCTCAAACCATTTGGCCTTCGCGTGGCGCGGGGTCTCTGCGCGCGAACCTGCAGGATACCGTCGTAGGGGATCTGCAAGGACTTGTCTGCGCCAGATCCCGAGGCTGCCCCGCTGGCCTCCGCCGCTGCGGCGAGCGCGAGATCAGTGGCGGACTTCGAGAGCTCGATCTCGTAAGAGGTCACGCCCTTTCCCTGCGGGTCGGTCAAACCTGCGGCAATGAGCGCTTGGCCTTCCGCGAAGTCGGGCTCGAAGTGAGTTTCCCGCGAGAGCACCTCGCTGAGCAGACCGTTATCGAGCGCGCCCATAAGTTCGCTGAATTTCTCTGTCCGCCGCATGTTGGGTATATGCCGGGGGCCGCCCGGACCAGTCTGGAAGTCATCCAAACCGTGCACTTTGCGCTCTTCGGGAATGTCCCAAACGGCGCCGTGCTTGAGGCTCATCAGACCAAGGGGCAGCGCGCAGTGGCGCAACGTCCCGTAGCCGTGCGTTGACAGGCTGACGCGCGCTAGGCGGAGGGCCTCCACGGACTCTGCGTTTTTCCCTGCCGTGTTCCGCGTGCGTCTTGCACGGCCTGCCTCGGAAGCGCTCGTGCTCGGCCTTCTTCGGGGGCGGGAGCCCCCGCGCCGCCGCCGCTTCGCGCTGCGCCCCCCCCTCGGGGACCTGCCCGTCAGAATCCCGCGCAGGGGGCCGGCCACTCTGGCAGCGGAGGTGTAGGTTCCACCCCTGTTCTGTTGGCGGACGCTTAATCCCTCCCGAGAGATCTGCCTTCACCCGCCGCCCGTCTGAGCCCTGCAGGGCGCGGCGGCTGCGCGGCGCAGCTGGTCGCGTTCGCCGCTGCCGCGGGAGCGGCCGCGTCGCCGGTTTGTCCGCGACGGTTGCCCCCGCTGCTGCGGGGCCCCGCCTGGGGCACGAGTGCCAGTCGCGCGCGAGGGCGGGGGGGGGACCTCGGGGGGCCCGCGGCCTGCCCGCGCTCGGGAAGCTAAATGGCCATAGCTAAGGGGTCAAAGAGTCGAAGGGGGAGAATGACAAGAGAAATGAACGAGGCGAAGGAAGAGAAGGGCATGAGAAGGGCGAGCGGAGTGGGCGAGGCGAAGGAGGATAATGACATGAGGAATGAATGAGGCGAAGGAGGGCGGGAGGGGGAAGGGGGGGCGAATGGGGGGGGGGAGAGGAAGGGAAGAGGGAGGAAGAAGGAAGGGGCGAGGAAGGGACGAGGAAGGGGGGGAGGAAAGAGGAAGGTGGGAGGAAGGGAGGAGGAACAGAAGGGGAAGGGGGAAGGAAGACAGGGGGGGGAGGCGGAAGAGAGGAGGAAGGGAGGAGGACGGGAGCAAGACGGGGGGGAAAAAGACGAGGACGGGACGAGAAAGGGGGAGAAAAAACAGAGGAAAGGAGGGGGAAGGGAAAACGACGAGGGCGACGACGGGTAAATGCGTCGACGACGACGACGAGGACGACAAGGACGGCGACTACTCAGGTCAACGACGACGACGACGACGACAACGACGACCGACGACGACGTCGATAACCATGAAGGCGACGAAAACGACGACGACGACGACGAACGCGACGACGACGACGGCGACGAGGACGACGACTGACGACGAGGACGTGGACGACGACGAAAACAACGACGAAATCGACGGACGGAGACGACGACGACGACAACGACGACGACGACACTATTCTCAGCCGCGCACTGCGAGCGCTGGGTTCCTGGCGC